GAAAAATGAGGATGATGCTGGAACACAAGTTGCTATGGATAAATGGTTAGACAGCAATGTTGCTCGCGCGCCGAGGGCTAAACCACCACGAAACTCCGACGATACTGATCGGGTGACATTGAGAACGCATGAAATTAGCGTCTAATGGATCGACGGATCCATGGGGAGCGAACGAACAGAGCAAACAGCGAAACAGTGATCGAGATCGAGTGTTGATTGCCGCCGATGGCTTTCCGATAAGGCTAGCTTATACCTGCTAAATGCGCACGAAATCGACATTGCCATGCTAATGAAGAAGGTGGATGGATAGATAGATGGATGAAGCAAACACTTACTTTCCTCTCAAAGACCTCCTCTTTCACCTTTCAGTCCTATGTCCTTCAAGTTCACTAAAAGTACTCGTGTCATTGAACATCGAACACAGATTATAAGAAGCATAATTAGCATTTGAGAATATTCATAAGAAGCTTATCAGAAGTGAAGAGGAAGTGAACCAGAAGAGGGATCATCATGCATTTCATGTTAAGCTCCTGTGTACGTGTTCTTGCATTTGCAACACCTCACAACAGGAGGGAAATTAATGGGAAGTAATTGCGCGAGTTTGCACTCAAATCTCCTGAGACAATTCAGTTCGTTAGTGGCAGTGGTGGTGGTGGTGGAGGTAAATAAATCATGGAAACAGACGGTCATCACTTAAGAATGCATCTCGCGTCTGATTATAAGTCAAGTAAAGAAATTAATTCAACAAAGGCTAGTGCAACAACATTTTTGTTTCCTTTTGCTGGAGTTTAACTCTTTTGCATACGCTTGAGTGTCATTAATTACTCTCAATGAGAGATCTTCATTATCTATTAGCATTTAGCTTCACTTTGTAACTATTGTTTGCTTACACCGTGAATCGGCTGGTGATTCTATTAATAAGAACAAAGATGGTCTAAAGTGATAAGTATGGCCTTCAAAAGCAACCTCTTTTTTCTTTTTTTATGACGTCAGTTTCACAATAGCTTTACCGATTATATTTAGCTGCAAAAGCTGATTTTTTTGCATTGAACATTAAGTGCCATTATCACACAATTAAGTTCCACGTTAAGTGCTGTTCTATGAACTTACTTCATTTCCTTCTTTAATGATAATGTAAAAGGTAAAGTAAATTGATTTTACGCATCTGCTTACTATCAAATCTGATAACTAGAAAACGTTTTAAAAAGAGTCGATTCTGGGAACGACAAAATCTTCCAGACTGTGGGGTGACAAACTTGACAAATTGAGTGCTTTTGAATGATGGCAACATTAGGAAGCAATCAGCCTGTTGATCATCTTCTGACAGTCCTAGTCCAGTACGGATTAGTTGCTCTCTTCTCTCACTTTTTAAGTTAGCAAAATTATTTTTGCATTAGCCATAAGAAAGAATGACCACCAACAAAGTAACAGTAAGCACAGATAAGGAGAAAAGGCACAAGACATCTTTTAATTAAGAAGGCAGACGTGCAGCAGTGATTTGATGCCTCACTTGAAGCATTGAATCTGAATGCGCAAAGAGAAAGAAAGACTGTTGACCACCACCACCACTGCATCTTGGCAAGACAAATTGAAATCATGTTCAAATTATTTGCAGAGTGCTCTGTCTGACTGTCTGTCTGTCTGTCTGTTTGTGTGAAGTCGCTCCATAAATCAACACGCCATTAGCAGATAAAGGTGATAAGCCAAAACTGTCTGCCTTTCTGCGTAACCGACAACTAAGCGACAAATTTCCATGAAGGCAAAAGGTCAGACGACGAGACTTGAAGGACTTATGTGAGTGAGTGTGTGTGTGTGGTGATTTCTAAATGAAATCTACCGGCGGTAGGTGAAAGATGAAGGCAAAGGGCAGTTTTGTGCTCCGGTGTATAAACTCAGCTTAATTAACTAAATAGACATCATTTGTTAGTGTCTCTAAAAGAGGAAGTTTAGAGATGCAACAGCTGAAGTTCAACAGCAGCAGCAGCAGCATCGGTTCGAAGAACGAAGACGATGCCGGTTCATACTAATTGCCTGATTAGCACAATTAGTCACGTTCCACAGTTTAAATTGACTGTCAGTGCAGAGTCTACGGCGATAGTGAAAGTCAGTTCAACTTTAGAACATCAATGTCAGCAAAAAGCAAAAAAAGTTCAAAGTTCAACAAGAGTGCAAGGCTAGTTCAATGCTAAACTTGAAACCGATTGAAAAAAGAAAATTAAAAGAACTTACCTTAAACTCACTGAATCATACAAGAATAAAGCCACAGAATAAAGTGCAAAAGAAGTCTGTCGATTGAAAGCTGGTGTTCACCAGTAAGTGTAACAGCAGACTGCTAATCTTCAAGTGAAGTGTGCGATGTTGACATCAGTACTGACCACCAACTACTGACGTCCTCGCTGCTTCGGCATCATCATCATCATCATCTTTGAGACCACAGTCTCTCACTCACTTTAAAGATAGCAGGCCCAATTGACAGTGATGAATGTCCAGCAGTTGTCGATTCAAGGCTCTCACTTTCCTGAAACTAGTTCACCTGCACTGTTCAAGTTCATTTGCTGCTAATGCACATGCTTTTTGCATCGCTTTCTCTCACCACTACTTTCACACAGTGGTCTGCAGTGTATTGTTTTTTGTTTGTTGCCCCCCTTCCTTCCAACTCCCGCCAACAGTAGACCTGGTTCTGGTATTCCAGACAGAAAAATCTCCTAAACTAGTGCGCCTCCTGAAAGGTCAGTTGCCCCTACTAAGCTTCTGATTTGCATTGAAGTGATTCCAAATGGATCGGTTGCGCAGTGGGGACAACATTATGCTAATAGTGCAGCGGTCAGTGGGATGGCAATGGTGATACACTTGAGGATGATGAAGATAATGCTACTGCTGAAGATTGAGGAGCTGATGCTATCGATGGATGACACTGATAGGAACAGGGAGACAGGGAGAAGACTGTGAGAAGATGACAAGAAGATCAGTTGTTGGAGTGTGTCCACGTACACACATGGACAAACGACAAATAAAGACGAGGGACAAAGAGAGTGGTGGTGGTGGCGGTGGTGTCACTGGTGCCGCGCCTTCAGCTGGGCTGCTATATAAGCAGACATCCACGGGTTGAGATGCTCCATCAGACATCTTTTGCACCATCTTCACCACCTGTTGCCGTCAATTCAACCGCCACAATGTTCAAGGTAATTAATTGGCTGTGCCTGTGACTGATTCAGTTTGCTCATTCCCCTTTGCCTCTAAACCTCTTTCTCAACCTCTACTTCGTCTTCCTAAACTGGTCACCACCACTCCACCCAAACTGAACCAAATCTCACCCCCTGCTTCTCCAGGTCCTTCTCATCGCCGCCCTGTGCCTGGTCGCCGTGGTCATCTCCGCTCCGGCGCAGGACGAGCCGCCCATGCCGTACGACTTTGAGTTCCAGGAGAGCAACGCCAACCACACCCTCTCCCGCCAGGAGACCGGTGACGCCCAGGGCGTCGTTCGCGGCACCTACACGCTCATCGACAAGGACGGACGACAGCGAACTGTCACCTACACCGCCGACCCCGTCAATGGATTCCAGGCTCAGGTAGGGGGGAGGGATAAAAACACTTTGTCAGGTGATTTAGAGACCCTAACACGCAAACTGTCCGCTTTTTGTTTTATCAAATTCAGATCCAATCGAACGAGCCAGGTCTGGTGTCGCACCAGCCCGCGGGCGCCACCTACAACGTCCAGTAAAAATCCGGAAAGAACAACAGCGGTGAAGCAGAAGCAGGAGGCACACAGTGAGCACACACCCACTACCGCCTAGCCATGCTTTGCCTCCTTGTTTTTTCTTGTTTTCCTCTTCTATTTAACTATACACATCAGCGAGCATCAGCAGCAGCAGCAGCAGTGACGAGCAACACACAAGCACAGCACAACCAACCGAATCGAATTTTAAATTCTTCAGTATTCCTTCCTTCTTTCCCCGACTTAATTTTCTTAATAAAAAAGACGCTTCCACCGTGGTCACATCTGTCTGTCTGTCTGTCTCTCTCTTTCTCTTCTAACTGATCAAGTGAATGACTCTCCCCACTGTGAATTCTCCTATCATATCACCTCAATATTGATTGCCACCGTTTGACCTTCAGAACTAAATACTGTNTCGTGGTCACATCTGTCTGTCTGTCTGTCTCTCTCTCTTTCTCTTCTAACTGATCAAGTGAATGACTCTCCCCACTGTGAATTCTCCTATCATATCACCTCAATATTGATTGCCACCGTTTGACCTTCAGAACTAAATACTGTAACACTGTGCGCCTCGATTAGCTGTTGCTGCCGTTCCCACATTGGCGTAAACTGGCACAGCAGTGTTGCGAAAACAGCATCAACAGCCGCCATTTGTCGCCTTGAGTTAGTGTATGGTAGTAAAGAGAGGCATCAGCGCGCATTAGCACTCTTTATAAATCAAGCGGCGAGCCATATAAACTCAAGGTGAAGATGAACTGAAATAGTGAGCAAATGTGTGATGGAAAGAGAGTATTTGAGTATGGAGGGCAGTAAAACGGCTGCTGCAGTCAGCGACGCGATTATCTCTGCGCCGGGCTTTATTGCCCCCCATGTACACTGCCCATGCCTTGCCATTCATCTATTCATCATCATCATCATCAACTTCAATGGGAACAGAAACAGCGAGAGAGAGAGAGAGAGAGTGAAGAAATTAACTGCCTCTATGCATGCCCTCTCCTCCCCTCGCTCAATTGAATTATCGCGCAAACAAACACTGCGACGATTGAAAAGGAACGAGTTAGGGGGAAAAGATGTGTGAAAAGCGACCTTTTGTGAAAGAGCATCTCAAACACTGATCACACACAGTTCAGAAGCAGTTCGACAGTTTTAGTGCGACAAAAGGCGTGTTTGTGTGTGTGTGTTCAAGTTCGGTGTGTTGATGTATTTTAGTAGTAGTAGCAGTAGTAACTTGGACACATCGAGGCGAGTGCAGGACGTTTTGTTTAAAAAAACACAACTCTACGCTCTAAATCTTGGCGACAATTATGGATTGCAAGTTCGACAGACGATTTCGCCACGTGTCCAGCGCAGTGTACCGCTGGGTGGACGACTCGGCGTCCAAGACGAGCACTTGGTTCACCTGGTCAATGCGACCTTGAATGGCTCTGTAAAGATCAGTGGTGAATAGGGAGAAACCTAGAATGAGAAACCTGACCACTTACTTGTCAAGAATGCAGGACACCAGAAGGCTTTCCACGTCAGACACGTCAATGTTGAGCTCTTTGGAGATGAACGGAATCTGAATGCGAGTGTACGGCTTGATGAGCTTGATCAGAACCTGGGTGCGAATGTTGGAGAGTAGATCTGAACAAGAGTGTGAGTTTAGTCAAATGAATGTTTGAATGAGAGTGAGCTTCCAAAACAAACCTTCAATGTGCTCCTTGATGAACGGATCGTCCATTATGGTGCGGCGATTTTCACGGAGAATCTTCTCAAATTCGTTAATATCATTGTTCTGGTAGGCGTTCACCAGATTGGTCATGGCCAGAATTTGCTTATCATTTTTGTACGGCTTTGCCTCTTGAGAGTCAAACGGATTAATGTCCGACTTCATCAACATGTTCGCCAGCACCAGATACTTCAGACAGGTAGTACGCCGAGGTGAGCCAGATTCATCGTAGTTTTTGAAGGCCTCGAAGAAGTCAGTGTGCGCCTTTTCGTACACTGCTTCACGCAAGTGCATCTTTCCACCACATTCTAAGGGAGTTGGCAACAGTTAAAAAACGGTTCACTGCGAATAACCAACAAACCTCGAATGACACCCATGATTAGCGGATGAGGGATTGCTGACTTGATGTGAAGGGACTTTTCGTACAGTTTCTGCAAAATAAGGAAGATTAGTTACAGTGTAAATTGGTAGACTAAACAAACCTTTAGCTTTTTGTTGTTCTTCTGTGCGGTGTACATTTGAATTTCAAGGGCGTAAATCTCCAACAGTTGCGTTCCCTTCTTCAGATCATCTGAGCCATCTTCATTCTGACAGGAGAGGTGCAGCTGCTTCAGTATTTTGGACAGCTTCTTGTAGTCTTGAACATCAAAGTACAATTTGCCCAACTTGATGTTTGTCTTGAACCATAGGCGCTCGTTTTTGGCGTCTTTCAACGCTTCAAGCGTAGTTTCGTAAAAGTTCTGCAGTAGCTCCATGTTTTTAGAAGTGGAGATGTAATCGAGAATCGAGTTGATCGACTTTTCCGAGTAGTTTCGGGTGACAGCCGACTTGATGTAGGTGAGAAATACTTTGTAGCGGTTCATCATTTCATTAAAATTTTGCTAACCAAAAAAAGAAAATATTAGCATCAAACAAAAACAATACGGTAAGGTTCAATGTTACCAGTTTGAAATTGATTTTGATCATCTGTTTGAGAGCCTTGAAGCCCCACTCTCCCTTTTCGCCATTTTCAATGTCCAGCACCTTCTGAAAGCTCTCCAGCGCTTTCTGCGGATTGTCCGCCTTCAGCGACTTTGAGTTGTAGTACTGATTCTCCAAGTCAACATCAGGCTCTGAATTGGAGTCTTCAGAGTATTCCTAAAACGAAATAGATGAAAGATGAAAAACACTTACTTCACCTATCACACATTGACTCACCAGATCATAATCCTCATCATCGTCGCACATGAAATCATCTTGATCAGACATCTTGGCAACAGCAGCAGCAACAGCTGTCACAGCTCAACCAGTGGAAAGATAAGCAGTCCTCTTCTTCAAAGCACTCCGCTGTCAGTTGGAATCGGTTGAGCAATGTGGTAGAGAACGCCGAAAGAACCGGTGATGACCGAGATTCAGCGAAAGCAAGCACTGACTTCACAACAACAGAGCAGCGCAAACACAAACATCTCGACGTTACGTCTTCTGTGATCACCCCTTCAGATCAACCAGAGAAAATTCAAATTCACCAGATACCGGTACTCTGGATGCTAGCAATGTCAAATGGAAAATCATCACAATATGTCTTTCCACTTTAGCAACGTAACCCGATNTCACCCCTTCAGATCAACCAGAGAAAATTCAAATTCACCAGATACCGGTACTCTGGATGCTAGAAATGTCTAATGGAAAATCATCACAATATGTCTTTCCACTTTAGCAACGTAACCCGATGACCTGAAGTATCTCCTGAGTCCCGAAACTTCACCCGAACCCGAGGGTTCGCCGTACTCTGTGAATGGTCCTCCGCGCATGTGAACTTTCACAAAGAGTGAGAGAGCGAGAGCAAAAGAGAGAGAGAGAGAGAGAGAAAGCGCTTGAGCGGCTTCTGTTAGTCAAACGTCTTGAGAGTCTCAAGAATACCACAAAAAGACGAAATTCACTTTGATCTCAATTCAATCTCGATTCTCTTGTAATCCGCCATGGCGAGTGCAGAGACGGCGACCATGTCCAACCCTGAAGAAGTGTCACCATCGCTTTCTAGCCAAGTTCTAGAGCAAAGCTTCGGCGATAAGGAACTGGTGCGCCGAATCAAGGCTTCAAAAGTTCTACTTGTGGGCGCCGGCGGCATTGGCTGCGAAGTGATAAAAGGCCTTCTGCTGAGCGGCTTCGAAGATATTACCCTCATCGATCTGGACACTATTGACGTCTCCAACTTGAACCGCCAGTTTCTCTACAACAAGACCCATGTCGGCAAGAGCAAGGCCGAGGTGGCGGCATCAGTGTCGGTGGAGCGTTTCTCCCATCGCGATCCCCAAACGAATGAACCTATCTCAAAGGTGACGCCCATTCGCGGCTCAATCCTCTCGCTCGACTACAACAAGGAGTTCTACAAACAGTTCACCTTCGTAATCAACGCTCTGGACAACAACATGACTCGCGTTCACGTGAACCGAATGTGCTTGACGGCGAACGTTCCTTTGATCGAGTCGGCTTCTGCCGGCTACTATGGAAACATTAAGATGATTCTGGGCGGTGTTACGCCTTGCTTCGAGTGCGAGCCACCCTCTAAGGACGAGAACACCTACGCCAGCTGCACTATTCGAAACACTCCTTCGCTGCCTATCCATTGCATTGTGTGGGCCAAAAACTTATTTGCTCAGCTGTTTGGCCAATCCGATGAAGACATTAGTCCGGATGTTTCCGACCCCAAACTGATGTCGGCTGAAGGTGAAGAGACTTCAGTTCAGAATGGAGTCGCCCAAACTAATGGTGATTCAGGTACTTTATTTGCTTGATCTAGACGATATTGTAGATTTTACATTTGTTTTCTATTTCAGATCAACAACAGCCAATGTCTACGCGGACTTACGTCGAAAATTCCGGCTATGATCCAAAAGTATTGTTTGAAAAGATTTTTTTCAAAGACATTATCTACCTCAAAAAGATGAAGGACTTGTGGAAAAACCGAAAGGCACCTAAAGAATTGAGTTACGATGAAATCTTTTCTGGTGCAGGAAAGTTTGAAGACAACAGTGACAACTCATCTAATGGAACCGAGTCTAGCTTTGTTATTCGAGACCAGAAGAAGTGGGACATTTACGAGTGCTTGGAGGTTTTCAGAGACAGCCTGGACACGCTTAAAAAACGTCTCACAGAAAAGCTAGTGATTGAATGGGACAAAGACGATGACGCTGCTCTGGACTTTGTCACTTCAGTGTCCAACTTTCGCTCATACTGCTTTGGCATTGATCGCAAGTCAAAGTTTGAAGTAAAGTCTCTGGCTGGTAACATTATTCCCGCTATTTCAACGACCAACACTATCGTCGGAGGCTTCGTCATCCTCGAAACCATTCGTCTTCTTTCGAGCCTACTTCCAGAGCGCGTTTGGAAGAACGCTGATGTAGACACCACCAAGCTGGACGCTGAGAAGCTAAAAGCTGAAGCCGCTACCATTAAAAAGAACACTTTCTGGGGGTACATTTTAAACAAAAAGGCGAACTCTTCTCGTACGAAAGTGGCCATCGAGTGGAGCAACAAACCGAATCAAAGCTGCCTCGTGTGCTCCTCTGATATAAAGGAGATTGTCGTCGCACTTCCACTCTCAAAGACTACCTTGGGTAGTTTTGTCAAGCAAGTGGTCAAGGATAAGTTCAAAACCATTGCCCCTGACATTAGCGTTCTCGGCACCAGCATCATGCTCTGGGCGGATGATGAGGACGAGGAGGAGGACGGCGACGAGGAGGCGCGCGAAAAGATTCTCTCCAGTTACCCTTTCATGAAGGACGGCGTCACCCTGTCGCTCAGAGATCTGGAGCAGAACTTTGAAGTGCGAATGCTGGTGAAGGACATTGAATTTGATCCGGAGGAGAATGACGGCCTGACCTTCAAGGTCTTTAACCAGTCGGAACTGGACGACATTATCACCGATGCAAAGAACAGTACAAATGTGGAGACCAATGGAAAAGCAGGACCATCAACAGTAGCCGAACCATCTTCAAGCAACACGTCGGCGGCACCATCAGTGATCACTGTTGACGAGGACGAATTCGTCTGCCTCGAGGACGAGCAACAACAGCTGGCTGCTGCAAGGCCTGCAATGGTGGAGCCCAACGACGACGACTTTGAAATCATTGAAATGTCTGAGCTGGAAGGCATGGAGATTCGCAAATCGACCACCAAGCGGCCAATCGGCGGCGATGACCTGATCATTCTGGACGACGAAGGGACGAACAACAACGGCAACAACACAGCGCAGAACGGCAACTCCGAAAGTAACCAAACTCCCACCAAACGCATCCGAACCAATTGATGATTACTTCACTTGAAACACTCGTTTGATCTTAAAGCGGATACATCCTAACACACAGCAGCGGCACTTCTTTACTCATTACACAAAGAAATTTTCTATTTTTCAAATCATTTCAAGTATTCTCACGATGAACCCACACACCACAATTTTTCCGTCATTTCTTTCTCGTTGATTTCCGCCACCTTTATATAAAAAAATTGTGCTTTAATACGGCCACGTTACAGCGAATAAAAACCAACTATTTAATATTCGAAAAGAGGTTTGAAAAGGAGGCAAAACAGCTGTTGTTGTTGTTGCTCACTGTTGGTTACGAAAACAAAATGGACAACGATCTGGTCGACGACTCTGGACTCTCAGCTGGCATGTACATCTTGGCCGTTTTTCTGGGCATTCTCTTTCACGCCGTCTTTGTGCTCACCGCCTTTCTCGACCTATTCAACTGGGACTGGTGCTTTGGAGAGGCTGATAATGGTGGTGATGGCAATGGCGATGGAGGTGGCACTTCCTCAGAACACTCGCGAAGACAGGCAAAGACAACGATTGGAAAATAAAGCAGTCTTTTATTGGCCAATAAATAGTGTGTGGGTGTGTGCTTCGTGCTCAAACATTTGATAACAGGGCTTGCTGGTAACAAAAGGTGATGAAGAAAGACAGGTTGAATTGCCACACGTTGGAAGTCTCGGTGGTGGGATGGGACTACTACTGCTGGAGGTGGAGGCTGAGGAATGTCGAAACTCGGTTGGAATGTCTGTTTGTGATGTGTGCTTGAATAATCTGTGTCAGCATTGTCTGTGTATTGGATGTGTCGCTTTGTCTTTACAGTCGCTCGCTGGCTTCCTTGTTGATCTGCGGCGGGACGTTAATGTCGAACTTCCAGTAGTAGTACGGCGGACCAGCGGTGAAGCAGACCTAAAAGGAAAGGGCGTTAGAAATGGCAAAGACCCATCACCTAGGAAGAAGCGAAAGACCACCACTACCTTTCGATCGAGAATGCGGTCCATTCGATTGACGTAGTACATGATGTAGAAGTTGCACATCTCATCATTGCCGGTGCTGCCGATGTTCACCGTCTCGTCGAGGAAGTTGTACATGGTGCAGCGAGCGGCCACCCAGTCGCCCTGTCTGATCGTCAGCGGCCGCCTCACCGGGTAGAACATCTGCGGCTTCTGCGGGTCGCCCTTGCCGATCATCGTCCACTGGAGGGTGTCCTGGTCGATGCGGTACCCGGTCACCACCTGGCCTAGCTTGTGCGTGTGCGTCCGAAAGGCGAACGGGTGAATCTCGATGGGCTCCTCATTCGGACAGGCCGCCTCGAAGTGTTCTGTGGTGTGTTGTTTGGTGTTTGGTGTTTGGTGTTTGTGAAGATCAAATGTTTACCCATGTTAGTTTTACTGTTTGCTGCCCACCTCCCCGTCACTCACCGGTGGTCTTTCCGTTAATGCGTCCGTCAGTGGCCATCAGGAGGACACCGGCCAGTTTGTTGATTCTGAACGCAAAAGTGTAGGGGAAGGAAGGGAAGTGCATGTTTAGTATTACAGTTGTTATTGCAAAGGCGTTCTTATTGACACTCACTCGTTGTTGTCTTGTGGCAACATGCGTAGCGTGATGCCGGAGTGGTCCACTTCACCTTCTGTAGGGCAGGAAGACATTTAGCTTTTTCTCTCTCTCCTATCATCGTGAACCTTTTAATAGTTTTGCACAACGTCACTCATTCGTTCGTCATAAAGGCTTTCTTTGCCTTCTAATTACTACCCAGGAAGGAAGCTTCTACTTACTCTCGACAAATCGATGCACATGTGCGTAATGCACCTGCAACACCAGGTAGTCAATCTTGGTGCCCTGGCCCACTTTGAAGCCCACCCCCTGAGGCATTTTCAGTGCCGGAGCGTCCATCGCCCAGCTGTACACTATCTGCGACTGGCCGTCCTTGCAGATGGGACTGCGCGGGAAGATGGCCTCC